TTTTTTTTTTTTGGTAAATAGAGCTTCCTTTAATATGTTTATGACATCACTTTATCTCATCATACCCATCACGGGCCATGGATTCACCCCTCCTGCAGGTAGTGCAGGCCGTACAATGGGTACCCGTCTAACCACTGAAAATGCATCATTGAGACGTGCAGCACGATTCATGAACTGAGACACCTTCTGCAAAAGTAAACCAGAAATGTGTCACCAAAGTTGGGAAACCACAATATTACCCCTGAGATCATGTAGATAAGCCCCAATACCATCCAACTAATAAAGGCCAATAAAAAATCTAACAAATGAAGCATGTGAAAGGATGAGGTTACCCTAGGAGGACATTTGATTCTAGATGTATTAAGATGCCTCACTAAAAAACTGAGCTGTGGTATTGTAGGTAACAAATTCTCACATGTTCTGCTTACAAGAACATGACTATACTGATCAAAACATTTAGGAAAAAATTGAATGAACATTCTTTCATTGGGAAAAGTCCAGAGCTACTAAATGTTATAGGAATCAAATTAAGGTGGAGGAAAAAGGATTTGCCACAACATCAACTAGACTTGAAGAAAAGGTTCAAAAGTTATCAAATCATGCAATAGGATACATAAATCTGCACGTAAAATGCGGCAATGCAGTAAGATGGAGATTATATAAAAATAAAGATAATAGCAAACACCAGCGACCAAAAGGAAGCTCTACAGCATGCTAGAATAGATGTTGAGAGCAATCAACGCTAGGAAATGAATCAGTCACTAAAACATCCAAATTCGAAGTGCTTAGATTACAACTACACTCTCCTTTGCTGGAATTGAACCAAGCCAAAAGAAAAAAAAAAAACCAAAGTTGTTGCATGTATGAGTTGGCTCAGATACACAAATGCAATTTCCATTATAGAATGAGCCAACCCAAGCTAGTGCTTGAACATAACACAATGATGAAAACGGATTAAGAAACTGAAAATGGCTTGAAAACTTCAAGCCAAATAGTACAACTGTACAAGATTCAATCTCAATACCAACCACCAGCTCTAGTTGTTTGTAAATCAAGAAAGCCCAAGTCAAATGGTTGAGCTGGGGTGGGGAGAATCTGTGTGTCAGAAAAGGTTTTTCGAAAGAAGAAATATTAATCAAAACCATTGGCTCAGGTAAAAAAGAATAAGGATTTTTCTAAGGTCACAGGTTAAGAGAATTTTTTTATTATAAATATACATAAAAAATATAAAAATTTATATTAATTTTAATGTTAGATAAACTTAATTAGATAATTGATAAATTAAAGGTTGACTTTTATGTTTTCAATACAGATATATAACGAAAAGGCGTATTTAATACTATACTTTTAACCTGTGCCTTAGGCCCAAGTTAGACAAACCAAAGAATAATTATGAAAGATTCCAGCATGTAGCATGCATAATAAATGCAGAATCTCCGGCCAATAAACAATCCAGCTAAACATAAACATTCTTGTGGTACCAAGAAGTGCTATTCAATTCAATTTTTGAAACATCAAGCAAAACAGCTGCGTATAATTATCAAATAAGAAATGGCACGAAACACGAAGAAGCAAAACTACTTTCCAATGTTTCATACAACGTAAAATTTTAGCAGAAAAATAGCCGAACAAATATACCAACTGACCTTATCATCAACGGTAACCTTCAGCTGCAAGCTCTGGCGCTTCCGTTTCATCCTATACAATCTGCGCCCTAAGATAACAAAACCCATCACAGTCGCTACTACAGAAATGGACCAAACAGGACTAACCTTGAACAGACAATATTTCAAGACCTCAAAAGGAACTTTCCACCATGCTATCCTCCTCTTCTCTTCCTTACCAACTGAATTTACACGAGAAGACTCCATTTCTTTGATATCGACGACATCAGAATTCCCTACAGCTCCTTCCGTCCCGATAGTCGAGTCATTCCCACCATCAAATTCTCCTGAGCTCTCTAACTCAGCTGTCCTCTTTGCAAGGTCACCAAGATCAATCTCACTCTCCTTCTCAGCATCTCTAAACTTCATGGAGACCAAACCATCTCCACCAGAATCAGACCAGCAGTTGTCCAAGACCTTATCATTAACTTGATTGTCATCAGATGCTCCAGTTACCTTTTCAACAAAACCCAATTCACTTTTCATATCAAAATCACTACTTTTACTAATACCAAACTCAATTTTCCCCAAATTCTCACTCTTTGCTTCCATTTCCCCAATTCCTTCAAAGCCCAACTGGCCTTTCTCATTTCCAACTAAACCCAACTCGTTTTTCACCTCATAATCACTCAATTTACGGTCATCAGACCTATCACTACCCGAATCAGACCAAAACCCTCCCAAATTCTTCCTCTCATACCTAGTCTCCGAACCAGGATCAATCCAACTCGGATTATCTGACTCAACAGACCCCTCTTCACTCACATCACCCTCCACAGCAACTGTCTTAGCATACCTACTCTGATTATCAAGAGAGAAGTAATCAGACCTTATCATACCTTCCGTATCCCCTTCAATCCCCTCCAAATTCCTCTCCGGGCTCACCCGGTCCAAGTCAGAATCCGAACTCTGCAGCAATTCCCAGTCCTGAAGCTCCGAATCCATGACCGCCTCGAAATCGTCACCGGATCAAAGAATTGAACCAATAAAAGGAAACCCTAAACAGCAAAGAACATAAAGATGGGAAATTGAGCTGCCGGCTTCCTTAATGGATCGTTGGATTGGAGTATTCGATCGTATATTACCCGGATCGGATTACGGGTCGAGGGTTCGAGGGAGAAGAAAAGGGGAGAGACAATGGATACAATTGCACAGAGGAAGTAGTTTTTATTGGTAATCCGAAAGCAAACCGCCGTTGGTCTTCTCTCCTTAAAAGTGTAAATCGTGAACAACGTTTTTATTGGTTTTTTATATAATTCTGATTTTTTTAGTGGTACTCGACACAACATTTTTATTTTTTTATATAATTTTTATATATTATTAAATAAATAAATACATTTAATATCATGAGTTTCAAATGAATTAAAAAAATTAATAATTTTAATAACATATTAAATCATATAAAAAATAAAACAAAAAATTATCCCAATAATATTACCCTTTTTCTTTTTATTCTTTTCATACAATAAAAATTAATCATCACTGCCAAACCCCTCACTTACTTGAAAGGGACTAGTGTGTATTAATTTTAATTTTTAAAATAAATTAAAAATTTTATTTTACATTATATTATTTATATAATTAATATTTAATTATTATTAATAAAAAAAATAAGTTTTTTAATATAAAAAATTATTTTTTTCATCAATAATAAGTGAAGTGCAATATCCAAATAACAAATACTCTCTCTGTTCTTCTATATTAGTCGTTTTGGAGAGAAAAAATTATTACTAAATAATTGATGTTTTAATAAATCAAGATTGCATTAACTTTTTTGTTCGAAATCTACCCTCACTAGTTTTTTTTATTGATTTCTCTCCCCTCTTTAACTACCCAATTTTAAAAGGATATAATGATATTTTAATCTTAAAAATTTCTAAATTCAAGAGTAATTAATTAATTTTTTTAATTCTCGTGCACATCTCTAAAACATCTAATAGAACTAGATCTTTAGATTCAATGATTCGATCTCAAACTCTAAAGTGCTTAAATGAGATGATCAAAATTTCAAGTTTTACCACTATCTTAAGAACTTCTTTCCCCCAATCCTCCAAAATTATACACTGTTCAAAAAAAAAAAAAAACATCCAATAAATTGGAACAGAGGGAGTACCAGAGATAAGACAAGACTAATGATAAATTCTTCCGATTTTATCGAGAGAAAAAATGAATTGGGAAGTCAACTTTAACGGTTTGTTATGTCATCTACATACTGAATAATACAAGGAGCTACCCATCCACATTATCTAATCTCCATACACATGCTAATAAAAGAACAGATAATTCAATTAAAAAAAAAAAGGGAGAGATAATTTGTGAGAGAAAGGACTGAGTGAGTATTTGATTACGTTGAAAACAATCGTTAAAGTTACTAAAATTATTAGCATTTCCTCAACCTTTACGTCCAAAAATACACACCTAACTTTTTTGTTAGAATTCATTAAAGAGTAAACAAGAGTTTTCCTACTTTTATCAAAATTATTGCCCATGGTAACAGTACATGATGGCAATAAATTACTATATTGGCACTGACATGGCAATGAATAACAGAATATTAACAAGCACATGAGTTTGCTATCCATTTTGAGTGTTTTCATTTAGACTGAAAAATAAAGGGTTAAAATTTTTATATTATAAGTTGAGGGACTGACAGTTTCATAGTTAGCAAAGTAGAGGGCTGCCTATGAATTTTCGCCTCAAAAGATGGGATAATCTGAACTTCTTGAGAAAAAAACAAAAGAATAAAAGAAGAGAGAGAGAGAAGGACAACAGTACCTTGGAAGAAGATAAAGAAAAAACTGTTTCTCAATTTATAGTATATTTAAATTAAAGAGAACGTGATTGTTATGTTACGTAATAGTTATCTTATTTATGTAAATGACTTTTTATACTATGATTTGGTGATATAAAATTTGAATCTCATTTTAATATTAAAAAAAAAATTGTTGTACCTGGATTTAGAAACTCAATAACACTAACTATTAAAGAGGTGAATTCTCCCTCTCTTGCCCCGCCC